AGATGGAGCTGCAGGGGCTGAAGAAGAGGAGGGAGATGGTTTTGCAGGAGAGGGACAACATCATAAAGGTGTGTCTGTGCCCTGTGCATGTTTATTGGTGCACATGGAGTCCAACTGCAAGAAAGTGCATGTCTCTGTCTCTGGCCAGTAGGTGTCAAATGAGTGCACAGATACGGAAATGAGCCCCTATTGTATGTATAGGGAAGTTATTTTTTGGCTGAAAACTTGTGCTTATGTGTGGCAAAATGTTGAAAGACTTGCGGTTCAGTACCTAAATGTGCTGTTGAGGAGTGGAGCCATTTTCAGGCACCATAATGGGCCTCCTAGCAACCCAAACAGTTTTAGCACTGGGAAACCACCATAGGTCACCAGAAATGGGCATGCTGTGTATGGGGGGTCATCTGGAGGGCAGAGTGTGCCACATATTGCTGGAGTTTGGCTACGAACATCCAGAGCTACATACAGAACGTACATACATGAGATTCATACAGTATGCCATTACTATTGTCCCGAGGGCAAAGTCAGTTTCACTCTGTGCATAAAGAAGTGCTGATAGTCAAGCAGACTTCATAGTTGTGCAGGTGCACTTTTGTGATTGATTGAAGTTTGGAACCCTTGGAACCCTGCGCTGCAGGTGCTGCATACCATTCCTGCCATCGACCAGCTACTGCCCAGGTTCATGTGTCCAAGCCAAACAATCGGCTTTCAACAAGAAAACACTGGCAGATCATCAAAAAACTCTCTTTCAGGCGATAATGAACCTATATGCAGTATAATGTCCACTGCAACATATTCTCACAGCACGGGATGCTCCTGAAGCAGCATGTTGTAAACAAGTCTGCCTTGCGGGATGGTTCCACTTTTGCTTGCATGCCATTGTCCTGAATATTTTCTTCGTGTAAACAAGCTCATTTTGGCTCTGTCCTATGTCATCAGAATCGCTCCCTTCTTGAACTCAAGCACATGCGCATGGAAAACAGCACAGATCGTCGTTTGGCAGAGCTGGAGGGCCAAATGAGAGCACTGAAGCAGGAGAGCAGTACTCTGAAGCCTTCAGCACAGCAGGGGGATACTGAAGCAGCAAGGAAGCTGATCATTTCTCACAATCAGTTGAAGGCCCTCGAGAAGTCCAGGAAAAGCCTGTTGGTCAGCAAGCCCCAAGACAGTGAAATGGTATGTCACAGGAGGGCCTCACACTTGTGAAACATTGCACGCATGTTGTTTGCGGTGCACATGTGGTCTGAAAATATGTAGATGTGAGTTGGCTGGAGTGATAAACGTTGCACTACTTTCAAACAGCTACTTCCCCATGCGCTCCCAGACCCCAGATCAATGACACTGCAAGAGAGAGCGCCTTGAAACAAGCGATGGTGCTTTGCATGCCATTTGCCAACACAGTGTGGGTAAAAACTTTGGAATGTAGACTTGTGGTGACTCCAAACAGTGTCCATTGCTCCTCAACACATGCAGAAAATGGATGTGCAAAATTTGTGCTTTGGTGGATTGATCTTGGCATCCTGAACAATTGCTGGATTTCTGATGACTGTTCTTGTACTTGCGCCCTTCATTGAGTGAATCTACACTTAGCACTGCACATCTGGGATACTCACATGGCCATAATGGTCGTTCTGATATGGCTGGTGATGGCTAAGTATGTAACATCTAGTTACGGCAACTTCGAAATTATTCTGGGAATACTCAAAGGAATTGATGTGCCACCGCTGCAATCGTGACAAAGAGATTATTGGTCAGAAATCATGGGCCATGTTGTGTGGCTCAGAACTCCAGAGTATTGAGACTTGGTACACCCTTTCAAGATTCAGTAGTTGGCAACAAGTTGTTGATGATGAACGAAACTTCAACAAAGACTACCTGCAGTTGGTGTCCTCCCCAATCTGTGAGTTTGCTCGCACAAGTCTTGCCATCTGTGCTTTCTTTTGTTCCCCACACCATCGCTCAGCTCACCAAGGTTAAAAAGCAACAGCCTACAACTGCATCTGCAGTGGCATGGAGGTGCCACACCTTTCAGTCGACAGAGCTTTGGGCCAGCCTAGCTGCCAATGGCACACCCCAGAACAGGCAATCAAATCATATCTGGGCACAGTTTTCCACCCTCTGACAGCAGCAAATCGACGTCTTCCTGTGCACCAGGAGCTTTCTGCCCTGGACGATCGTGTCGACATACTCAGCGCCGAACTGGAGTACCTGAATGATGCCATTGCAGAGCGACTGAGGATGGTGTCCAGCGCCTCCCTGGCAGCAGAGGGCATCCAGTGCTGCGTGGCATGTCTGAGCTCCGAAGAGGCGCATGGTGTGCTTGAGCACTGCCTCATGCAGCTGGTGCAGGTGCTGCAGGAGCAGAAGCACAAAGCAGACAAGGTGGGAAGGGACTGCAGCCTGGAGCTCAGTTGTCATGTTGAGAAACAATGTGCTCATTTGTTTCTTTTGCTGAATTATGACGAATCGCTGCTGCTGCGTTTCCTGGGCGAAGCCAGAGGTCAGGGTGCATGGCAAATTTGATTCACAGGTGGTCAAGGGTAGTCAAAGCAGAATTTTGCCAGCATTCTGCATGGAACATGCTGAAGGCCAAAGGCACATGTGAGAGCATGATGTGGTCCCAAGTACATTTTTTTGCGATTTGATGGGAAGTATGGAATGATGTGAAAAGCAAATGGACAGTGCATGTGAACGTGGGGTGGCTGCCAGTAGCAGCACAGAGGGTGGCAGGACTGATTGCTCTCATCATGTTGTGTTGTATCGTGTCGCATTTTATCATGTCAAGCATCATATCATATCAATGCATTGAAGACTGAGAGGTGTTTCGTACATGTGCATCAATCACTGCTCATGAGTGTTTGAGGCATTGGCTCCAATTGGAGCTTAAGTATGCCACCTTGCGCACAGTGCATGAAGTCAGCAACAGTGGTCCCTTTCAGTAGCTGGAAGTTTGGCAGTCGATGGGGGTATGTTATTCCAGCTGTCTGCTGGTGCGTTGTTGCAAGGATGCCTTGTATGGCTCATCATCTTTGAAAAGGTGGGCAGTTTGTGAATCCCCCTGTCTCGCCACCAGTGTCCTGTCCCAGTCCTGTCCTGTCCTGTTATCCACAGTAATGATCGTATCTAGACCACACCAGTTGCTGAACTATGCTCATTTTGCCTGCAACATAACACAGCGCAAAACAGTGTGCATTGCATTGTGCACGGCATTGTCAACTAGAATCATACAACGGGAAAATAGGGATACATGGAATACAGAATATGGGATATAGCGAATTTGGTACATGACTAGAAACTGTGTTGCTTTGCCATATTTCAGTATCGCTGTATCACCATGGGTCAGAGCAGGACTCAATCTGCAAGAATACACTGGGAAACAAAACCTCGGTGAACAAGCACTGGCAGATGTGCGCACCACCCGGCATCGGCCCTAGGAATAGGGGCGCTGTTTTGTTCATATGCTGATGAATCTTGGAATGGAGATGAACGTCTGTACTCCTACAACCTGGGATACTGGCAATGGTGTCCAATAGGAGACTTGTGTGACCTGCACTTGTCCTTTCAGATTGCCCGTTTGGAGGCTGCTGTGGTGGACAAGACCCACCAAGTGGACGTGGCAGAAAGCAACCTGAAGGTGAAGCACAAGGAGCTGGAGCGCCGGCTGCGAGAAGTTCAGAGGGAGCATGCTGTCAAGGTGCAGGGCCTCCTGAGGCAGATCAAGGTGCTATCAAGGGAGCAGCCACTGCCCCTGCCTGGCCGTGTGGATGGGAGTGCATCTGGGAGAGGCAACGGAGGCGAGGCCAGCCCTGGGATGTCATCATGCACAGGTTGGACAACTGGCTGTGTCAATTCTGCTGATGATGAAAGGACACCTGCACCTGCAAAACAACACAATGAGCTCAGCACGGTCCGAATCGCAAGTCCTGGCCTTATTTTAACCCCGGGAGAATGCTGATGCACGATATTCAGAGGTGGATTGCTGTTGAAGTGCACAACGAAGTCACGCAGAGTGGACTGTTTTGTGTCACTGTTGTCGACAGCTGCTTCACTTTTCAGGGCAGGAAACTGTAGTTATTTGTTTGGCTGCTGCAAATTTCCAGTGCAGCAATGGATGAGTCTGGTCAAGCAGCTGCTGCGATGTCAATGCCCAAGTAGGCACAATGGACTGCTTCAAGCACTCTCTGAAAATAGCTTTCCATGCAAGGCACTTTGAAGAAATTTCCTGTCGAACATGTCGCTGCACAATAGCTTTGTATAGAATGGCCCCTGTGCACCATATGGGCAATGAAGGGCACACAGTATATGTAACCTTTGATGTGAATATGCCATATACACATCAATGTTACACACCCTATGTGCATGCAATGCATATGCCGTTTCTACCATGCAATCAACTCTACAGGTGTACTATGTATCGAATATTTGGCTGTTACTCGCATGACACTTGGGTGTGCACTGATGGGTATTCGGTCATCTGACCTGCCATCTTGCTCCCAGATGCTGAGCAGGAAGCAGCATTCTACAAACAGCAGGCTGAGCAGCTCAGCAAAGACAATTTCTACTACAAGCTGAGAAACAAGGAACTGAAGCAGAAGCTGAAGGGAATGCAGGCCGAGGGAAGCAGCGGTGATCAGGCGTCCACGCAGGTGCCGTTGGTTTCGCGAATGCAAACCGCATGTAGCCCTAATAACCTCCAGTAGCAGCACTGGTGAAAGTTGGCACCAAAGGCGGGTTTGGGACAACATGAATTGGTACCGTGTTAAGACAATTTGAACGCAGTTAGAGACATTATGAAATTGCCGAAGGTTTCCCAGGAGTGATGAGTGAACTTGCAACGCCGACGCTGTGCGCTTGCAGAAATGGATCAGAGGAATGCAAACCTAACTTGGCTGAGGAATGAGCTTTCCAAAGCAGGGCGTTGCTATGGTCAAGGATGTCGATGCCACTGGATGTTCCGGCTAAGAAAAGCACGCTGTTGTTTGCAAGCAAAGGCGCAGGAGGAGTGCAGACGAGACCTGGGCAGTCCATGTCCCCGCTGCCTTCGGACGCCGGGTTTTTTAACGTTTTGGGTTTGAGTTGTTCTCCTATACGGGGATCTGCTGTCCAGACAAATGGTCCAAGCCAGTTTTTGAGGGTGGCAATAAAATTGTCGCCGCATTCGACTCGGCAAGACAGCAGCGTCCACAAGCGAACACTGATAGAATTTTGCAGTGGCTGCGCCATCCAACAGGTGGAATTTTCACTTGTCACGGAGTTTGAAAGGGCCGTGATTTATCAGGTCTTGGCACGTTTCGTCAATTGGGTTGCACACGCCTGATGCAATGCGAGATGAGCCGATGCAGCCAACTGCTCTTGTATCGCTCTACATGCACGCGGACGTTGGTCCGCATCTTTGTCAATTTGCAGATCTACGTGCATTTTTTATTTCAATGTTGTGTATCGTACATTGTTTTTCGCATGCTTTCTTGTTTGTAATTCAGTGTTTCAGTATTACAGCATTTGTCCGCCGTATTAAAAAGGCGCTCATATTTAAAGGCGAGGTGTTGGACGCGATCCAGGCAGACGCCGCGGCAGGCAAGAGGCCCGACGCCAAGGTCATGACTTCGGACCCGTCTTTCGACGTCGAGCTGGACCACTACAAAGCCCACCTGCGTAAAGTGGGGACCGTCGTGAGGCTGTCCAAAAGCCAGCTGCTGCCGCTGTCGAATGGCCAGGTGGACATGGTCAAGGCATCTGCTCGACGGAGGTGGGTTTCGAATTATTTGGAAACGCTTCGACGTCACGGTGAAGTGCGCTTTGACGCTAATAGAGATGACGCAGTGCGACGTATAATTGAATGATATAAAGACTGTGTTCAGAGTGAGGTGCGCCGACTGATGCTGGCTCCTCCGCTCCGCATTTTGGCAATCGAGTGCCGTTGTCAAAACGCGTGTTCCTCTTCATCTCGCCCAACCAGCGCAGCCCTATATTAGGGCTGCAAATCCTCACCGTGAATCTTGTCCATGGCTTGGGTTGCGCAGCACTGGTTCATGTGGTTAGATTTCAGATTTCAGCAAAGGGAAGAGACAAACTTATAACAACAATTGGATTCCCGCTGTCGATCCACCAGGCATGCACGTTCGTCAACAAACGTCAGCAACAACCCGCATTTGGCGCTGTGTTGAAGCATTGGCAACAATCTGGCGTCAACGCAATACGCCTGTGCGTCGTTGCTCCCCAAACCCCACGCTCTGACGCTCTCTGTAGTGGATGGCATCCACGGCCTTGCCACTGGCCGTCCAGGCAGTCTATGGTGATTGTGGGCTTGCAGCGGAGCAGGCTTTTGTGTTTGTCAGCCTCGAAGCTATTGTTTGGTTTGCGTTCTCGCTGATCACAGTCGTGAAGATTTGGCAGAAGAACGGCTTTCCATCCAGCAGAAGGCGATGTTGGACGACATTGAATACACCCATCGCACACATTGAGCTCTGTGGGGGGCATTGGTAGATTGGTATGCAGAATGTGCTGTAGCGTTGCACTTCAATGTGTTGCGACATGGTCGTTTTGTTATAACGTCGTGCGTGCTGTACGGGCAACTGGAATGGCAACTCCGTTTGTCGACGCGTTGTTGATGAGCGACAGCAGTGCCCGCCTGCGTAGTCAATGAGGTTGCCTCTGTTCCCTTGCGCCCCAGGCGGGTTGTGGTCCACCAGTGCAACACAAACCGATCGAAGCAACAGGATACCGTTATTTAAACCTTGACATTTGCATCATGCCTTTCTGGAACTTATCAGTGCTTTGGAAGTGCTTGAGCCTCGACATTTGCACCACGCATTTCTGGAAATGCTCTAGGGCAAGATCATCATCATCATCGTCATGTTTGCAGAACAACGCAATGGGGTAGCCGTCAGCTGCCTATTTCGCCGGAGCGAAAGCACTGTCCATGATCGGTTCACTGAAATCTGATATTCATCGCGAACAAAATCTATGCATCTATTAACTCCTAATCCGTTTATGTAATTGCTCAGGGGCTGGATCCCTCCCAATGACGACGCCCGCAGCGGCTAGCCCAGGGCCCCGCAATAGCATCGCCATCATGTTTCACAGAACAAGCCAATGAGGTAGCTGTCAGCTTTTCACTTTGCCCGAGCAAAGCAGTGTCTGTGATCAGTTTGCAATAGCACAGTGGCACGGCAGCTGTTGATCGACCAACTGAGTGGGGACTCTAAAGTTTCCAGAACGCGAGTGAGAGGCAATACACGCCTGTCTGAAGGATGGGCGGCTTGCCATTCCGACTTCGAGTTTCAACTGTTCCAATGAAGAGGGACGGCTCGCCCATGTTGTGCAAAGGGAGCCGTCCGTAGCTGAGTTTCCACAATTGGCGGTCGAGGCAATAACTTCACAGGAGATGAACGAGCGGGATGGGGGAATTGGTTTGGCGAAGGGACAGCTGCAGCCCAAATTCTTTTGTTGTTTTGCCTCCATAGCGCAGCCGCCAGTCCTCGCCTATTGGTTGCTTGAGGACGCGGCCTTGGCAATAAGTTCAAACGCCAAGATTTCCCAGCCGGTCTGGGGCCATGTAGGTAGAAAGTCCTGGGATGGGGATGTGTGGGTCTGGCTTCGTTGTGGGAAGTTGGATCTGAGATGTGACCGTGCCTCAACTTCATCTGTAAACATAGTTTCAATCCCAAAGCAGCTGCGGTACTTGTGTCAGCAAGGCTCGGTCGGTTTCAAGTAACTTTAGCGGTTAATGGTCTGTCGCGGTCTGGCACTTCACAATGCGCGAGTGCAACTTCATGTAGTTTTCTGTGTACAACAAGAAAGGACAGCCTCAACCCAGCTGTTGTCGTCCATTTGTGCATTTTTTGAATCGGACTGCCAGCAATTGTGGCTACACGCTGCCCATTAGGCCAATCGGCCATCCACATACTCTCGATATCTTGTGGTACGTGTTTGGGGAAGATGCTGTGTCAATTTTGTTGCGCTTAGCATCAATTTGACGTTAAGCTCAGACCCCCCCCACCCTACGTTCGCTTCACAGCGCCATGGACTCTGACGTGGAGGTGGCCGAGGCAAGCAGGCCTCTGGCAGGGCAAGCTCGGGGTGATGTTCTCGCGGCGGGACTTCGGTCTCGGGGGGGCAATTGACCTCTGATGGTGGCCCTGTGCCCGCCATCGAAGCTGATCTGCAGCGCCACATCCGGGGCCTCTATGGTTCCACCAAGAAAGTCCTGGTGGACGCTTGCCATGCTGCCGGCCTGCGCGGAAACTCCCAAGACATGAAGCTGAAGCTCATTGTACGATTGATGTCGCACTGTGAGGCGGAAGTGGCGGCAGCAGTCCGGGCTGCCCCTCCGGCGATGCACGAACCTGTGGGGCTCATGGAGAGTATGCGCCCGTCTTCGGGCCTGGTGCAGGGCTTCCTCACCCGCCCCGCTTCCCGCTATAGCCGCCAGTCGCCCTTGCCCAGCGCTGCTGCGCCTTCCCGGCCCCCTTAGACACCCCGGATGTTGTGGCCCTGCCATCCGGGGCCACCTCCACTCTTCCCCGCCGGGCAAACGCCTGCGCACCGAGGCCAGGCGCTTCCATCTACGCTCCCCTGCCTCGTCGGCTGACCTGGCCCTCCTGCCGCAAGATTCTGCCCGCCCCGGAGCTCCCGCGCCCCCTCCATGCGCATAGCTCGACCCGGACACCGTCCGGCGGTGCTCCCACGCGGCTGCCTCAGTGCGGCCTGCCCACTTGGGCGAGCTCCTAGACGTCCAAGCGAAGCTCTGGCACCGCGACGTCTACATGCGAGGCCCCGCCAACTCGCCGGCAGAGCCGGTGGTGGAGGCAGGCATGACTGTGGCATAAAATTACTGGCTGCACCAAATCGGTGACTGCTTGCACCAAGTCACGTGCACATCATGTCCAACTCCGTCCAAACTAACCTAACCTAAAACCTAAAACCTAAAACTAAACCTGTCCTAACCCTAACCCTAAAACTCACCCTGAAACTAAACCTAACCCTAAAATTGAGGTTAGGACAAAGTGTGCACGTGACTTGGTGCAAGCAGTCGCCGATTTGGTGCAGCCAGTAATATTATTTCCATGACTGTTGGGAAGCCCGAGCTGGTCGGACATGCACTTGCGGTGACAGATGTGGAGTGCATGAGGCGTTTTTCACCAGATCGTCCACGTCTGGTGACTGTGCACTTCAGTACACTGCAGGATAAGGTCGCTCTGTCGCGGGCCAAGAGTGCGCTGTACGGGACACCTGTCCCTAATGCTTTTCCAGGGGTGCGGATTTACCACGGTATATCCGGTTCGCAATTGGACTGGAGAAAGGTGCCTTCGTGGCGTTTTTGAGGCGCTTTTGGCTGCGGCTATCAGGGCCGTTTGGAGATGAGACTACTGCTTGCATGCCCTCATTTCAGGTAGCTGGGTTGAGTTTTACCCGACCTTGCTGCTTGTCTAGAGCCTTTGGAGCTGGGCATTTGGCCCCACAGTTTGCAGGTGGAATTTCCAAAGTGGCTGGATATGGGTGGCAATGCCAGTTCTGGTTTGTTGGGCATTGGCGGGTTGTCTTTCTGGTTGTTTCTGGGGTCGGTGTCTATGCTGCGGCTGACTTGCACTTTCCTGATTTTTCTCGTTTTCTGGAGTTTTCTATTTGATTTCGTTCGCTGTTATGTCTCCTGGTGATTTTCCTGTGGAGATTATGTGCTTAGCTTAACACTGTGGGTGACTATTGCGCTCGATATGTGGACCAACAATGTGCTCTCCTGTTTTTGTGCCTTGTGTTGTTCCCTCCTATAGCGCCTGCAACATTGGTGGAAAAGGAGGGCTTCGCCTCGTTACTCTGTAACGCCATCTTAACAAACCCCACCCCCCAGCGTGAAGCCTCATGTTGATACAAGGATGATTCAGCAACATTATGTGACAGTGATATTCAATTTCTAGGTGGTTTTGGAGGACAAAAAATAGTCAAAGTTGGGCTCATTTCAGTGGGTTGAGAAACGGCGAGGCAGAAACCCTTGATTGTTGTAAATTGATACATTTTAAGGCCTCTTCTGAACATCGAACACTTGCAGTTGGTTTGGGAACAAGTCATGCGTTGTTTCCAGCTGATCTGCGGCGTTTTTGAGTATCTTTCCTCCTTATGTCGATTCTCAGAATCAACAGACTGTTGAAATCAGCGAATGTGACCATATTTTCTTTAATGGGAAATTACAAAGGCAACCCCTGTTGTTCCATCACATTTCAATAGCAGAGTATCACGTCGACAATACACCCAATACAACCCTCTTTCCTGTTGTATCTATCCAAATCCTTTGTCCACAATAGAGTCAGGTGGGCACGAGCAGCGCAAGTGGCGTGTGGCTTGAGTCACAATTGATGAACCCTCTCAAGCGGTGCGCCTCCTGGGATGTTCTACTGACATTGTCGACACTTCCTTGCCATTGCATCAAACCGCGTATAATGGTGCCCACTAGACGCCCACCGCTTCATCAGCAACGGAAACACAAGCTTCACCATGACGTCAGCCACAGAAAGCGTCATCGACGCCATTGTCCCAGTGATGACCCATCCATCATCTTCTTCAATCACACAAATGAACGCTATTTGAAGCGCTAATTGAGGCAAATCTTCCAACAGACGCGCAAGAAGCGCTGCTCGGGCAAAGTACTTGTGTGGAAAGCCTTCGCTGACAGCCCCATGACCATTGCCTTTGGTGCGCATCTTCCCCAATGGCAAGTACTTGATGACCTCCATGTCGAAAAACAGAACGCCAGGAAACAGCAAAAGCCAATCCCCTCTACTCATGTGTCCTTCCTCCTTAAGGTGGTCCAGGAGCGAAATGTCCCGCCTTGCGTCTGTATCTGCACGTATTGTCCTCAATCCAACATATGTGGAGGAAATCGCAAACAACTGAGCCGTCAACAACACTACAGCACTCAAAATCCCGATAACAAGGAGCTCGACATGGTTCCCATCCTGAACGACTTCACCACCTACCATTCCTCGAGTTGTCTTGGACGTCCACAGAACGAAGACAGTGACTATAAAACCTATGTCAGACAAGATATCAGCTAGTGCCAACAGATGGGATGCAAACATTTCCTTCGCTTGCCCAAATGATAAGGTTTCAAAGCGATGAGAATGAGAATGCGATACAAGTGAATAGAGAAGCAACACGGACATGAGCATCAACATGGCAACGATGGCAAATCCCACAAGTGTGGGAGTCAAAATCTCCACTGTGCATAGTTCGTGCATTAAGCCGGTGACCAGATGAGCTGAATTTGGCACGTCATTTCTCCGCAATCGACAGCCTGGCTGACTGTGGGGGAGGCTGTCGAATGTTTCAAAGTTGTCGATCTTCCCACCATTGGCTTTGATCCTTGTTGCTCCTTGAACATAATGAAGTTTCCCTAAATTGATGTATTCCAAACTTGGGTTGTTGAAAATTGCTACATTTCCCTCCACCCTTTCGAGAAAGTCAAATCCATGCACGGCTTCCAAATCTGGGTTGAATGCAATGGTCAGGCCGCCATCAGCACACCCGCATCGTCCCAGGCCCTCCGTTCGTTTCAGTGACAACAACCGTCCAAAGCTGTGAGTGCTGTTCAGCTGCCCATTTCTTGTGACTGAAATAGTCCCGTTGAGGCTGCCCCTGAGGCTGCTGAAGTTGAGGGATCCACCAGCATACCAATGAAACTCATTGCTGTCAATTGTCATGCCGCATCTTGCAGTGCTGTTTGAGCAAAACGTTTGCAGACTTGACAGGGGAAGTACTAACCCTTCATTGCCCTCAACGATTACTGATCCGCCAACATTTGCCAGCCGTGGCAATAGCAAACTAGGCTGAAGAAAGTGCGTATCTTGCCAAAAATATGGGGAGGCACACTGGGCATCAACTGGTGACCACAAAGGATATTTGTCAAACACAACACCATCGATTATGATGCTTCCATGGACGTCAGCAATGCTCTTAAAGACTATGCTACCACTGATCCGCATTTGAGAGAAAAGTAGATGCCCCTGCACCCGAGTAATTCCGCCCAGGCCACACACATTCTGCAAATTTACGTTATTCAGAATCACCAAATCCCCACTCACTTGCGCCTTATGTTTCCCCGTACTATCGAAATGTGCAGAAACTCTGTCTGGCCTTGCCCAAATTTCTTGCTCATCGACTCCAAGCAACTGACTCCAGTGGTTCCTTTCTCTACCATAGAGTGAAAGTGCACCATCTTGAAAATCCCAATAGGACTTGATGACAGATGTGCCACTGCCAACAATTAAATGCCCATTCACTTGCCTGATTTCGCGCAATCCATCAACATTCTGGAGCTTTGGATTGGAGTGGATTAGCAAGCTCCCATCAACATGTCTAATATTTTTCAGGCCATCTACATTCTCAAGAATGTCATTGCCCTTGATCCACATCTTCCATTTCATTTGAGTGATTCCAACGAGGCCATCCAAATGGCCAAGCCTTCTGTTGGCCTCAATCCTCATGCCTCCACCCACGTGAGTGACATGTCTGGACCCATCCAAATTGGTTAGATTGTCATTGTGGCTGATAACGACAGTCCCAATCACCTTCACTATACTACCCAGTCCATCCACGTTTTCCAGCGATGGATTACCAGTGATTACCAAAGCACCAGGCACCCTGGTTACGTTAAGCAGACCATCCACGTTTGCCAACAAAGGATTGCCACACACTGCCAAAGCTCCAGCCACATTGGTTATGTGCCTCAAACCGTCCACATTGGTGAGCACAGCATTGGACGTGATCTTCAACGTACCATTGACACTGGTAACATTACCCAGACCATCCAAATTTGCCAATGAGGGATTATTGCTTACTTTTAGCAAGTGCGACACCCTGGTGATGCTGCTAAGTCCATCAATATTCGACAACAAGTGGTTGTCTTCTACAACCAAGTGTACAATGTGGTTCAGCTGTCTAAAACCAAGATTCGCAAGTGCAGAGTTGTTCCTTATCCACATCCCCAAATTCGCCTGGGTGAGGTTGCCCAGACCATCCACGTTTGCAAGCATTGCATTGGAAAAGATTCGCACTTCATCATTTACCCAGACAAGACTGCCCAGACCATCCACATTCTTCAGCATGGCATTGTACTCAATTCGTAGAGTCCCATTCAAGTGGGATACACTGTCCAGGCCATTTAGTCTTCCAATAACTCATTGGCAAGAACTTTCAAGTCTTGTCCAACCAATTGTAGCCCAGCAAGTGGTCGTAACGATCGCAGTGAAGTTGCTGCAATGACAAGATCGTGTCTCACTTCCTTCAGAAGTCCATTAATAGGCTCAAGGGACTCAATCTGATCACCGAAGATGAACAACGACTTGACTATGCCATTAGTGTCCTCGAGCAGCACGGCAAGATCTCCCAGAGAAGGTACACTTGTTCCTTGGTGGCACTCGCATCGGTAGCGATCTGGAAGAGGATAATTATCGGAGTAACTTACAACATTTGGTGCACACTGAGTATCACCCAGGCAAATGCATTGCTGAGCAGATGCAGAGCACCTGGCATGGCTGCCCCTGAATGCAAAGGTGAGCCCAACGCACAGCAGGGTTAATGCCCAGCTGCACCCTGCCTTGTAGCCCATGAGCCAAAACTCCTGTCCCACCAAGTGGGATGCACTTGTGTTTGAAAGCCACAATCTTATGCCAGCATCAGCTGGAGCAACACCTGGAATTGCAAACAGCACAAGGTCAAGGTTGATGGAATATAGCTAACACTGAATGTTTATTGCTTGGGTCGAGTTCGCAATTGCCTTTGCTATGCTCAAAGCTGCAGCAACAGTGTTTTGAACATGCATGAGCAAATGCTGCCAAGGCTGCAGTGGTGACTTTTGTGAGCTACGAGTGCAATGGCAAGCCCAAAACACCAGGAAGGCCCCTGCCGGGATGCCCACACGAATTCCGACTCAACATCTCATGCCCAGTATGTCAGATAATCATAATCAATCCAAAAGGGTGAGAGGGGCGCTTGTGCCAGGGGAACGGATGGAGAATGGGCTCACCATTTCGAAGAAACTCCCCAATGCGGTACGCTCATGACTCAGTCGAACAGGTTGCAAAAACTAATTTTGCCACTAGATGGGTAGATGGGATGAACGCGCATCGAGCGCATTATTGGAGGAAGCGTTTGCACCCACCCTCCTGTGGGTGATCATATAAATCGTGTACCGCGCGTAGTCAACAAGGAACACCCCCGCCGTTTACCCCATCAATCGTGGCGTCGCGAACTGGGGCGACAGACGTCGGGATCGTTGCCAGCCATCCCCGTCCACGGGCGGCATAGGGCTAGCGAAAGTGAGTCTACCGCTGGCAGACCTTTGACCATGGTGCAAAACCCTGAGGCGTTGCATGAGTGGAACCACCAGCGGTGCTACGAACCCGGGTGCTTCTGCAGCGGTTACAACAGCGCAGAATGCGTTCCGCGTCGCCGCCGACAACCGCAGCGAAAGGCGAAATTAATGGGGGGGATCATGGTGGGAGGGAGATTCCCACGAATCCTCTCACGCATGCGCAGTGTGGTTTCCAGATGGTGACCTGCGCGTGGGAAAGAAGCCAGAGATCCGCCGCTTGCCTGCGCTGAAATGCCCAGCCCTGCGACACCTGCACAGCGCTACGCAAGCTCCCGTGCGCACAGGGCTCCGGCTTGTGAAGATTGCGCCCAGCGCGGGCGCCAGTCTCTCCGTCGCAGAGTGCCGACCGGGGGGTGGTTGGCAAGGGCGCTTTTGTAGTCGCGGGGCATGGAGGTTCGCATCAACTTCATCGTTCCGGGTGCTATTTCCGTTTTTGTACCGCCCCGTTCACTCAGGGCCACAGCCGCATCGGCGGACTGAGCACCACTGTGTGGCGTGGCGACAGCGGAGAGCGGGGGTCTCCATATCAGTAATTCGCGCAGGAGCCCCCTCGTTCCACCCAAGCCTGAAGGCTTCTTCTGTGTCGCCGTTTAATGCGACATTGTTGAAACTACAGCTGACTGAGTATAATTAACAACCGAGTGCATGAAGAGATGATGAAACAGTAGGAATTGCATCAAGGACGTTGATGAACGGACTGAATATAAAGGACAGAACCCCTGTTTTGTCCTTTTGCCCCGGCTGTAAACCACTGCCTTTGGACTCGAGCGTACGATTCCCGTCCAGGGACCACCACCCCTCGATCCTGCCTGCCTTCGTCAATACAATAACGTAATAGCATTCCGACCCAGCGTCACAAAATCTCCTCTTTTGGCTCTCCAGGCTGAAACCAACGCACCCTCACCCACACCAGCCACACCATCCCACCACCCGCACACACCCCACGCTCCCCCTCCCCCCTCCTCGATGTCCGCCCCGCACAGGCCACCCCTCCCGGACGCACAACACCCCATCACCGCTATCCAATGCCCGCCGATCCCAACCCGCATCGGCAACGCATCCCTGCGCAGGTCCCGGTGCGATGGCAGGATGTTCGGGCACCACCGCGGGGCGCCAAAGGCGGCCGAGGGGGACGATGGCGGCATGGGCGGGTCGGGCAAGGCTTCGCAGTTCGAGAACACGCCGGGGAGCAAGGGCGACCTGGGAATGGGGGAGGACGTGCTGGGCCGGCTGCGTGTAGCGGAGGAGGAGGCCGCCAAGCTGAGGAAGGAGCTGGCGGCGGTCAGGGGGGAGAAGGTGGGCGGCGATCACGAACGTCAGCCTTCATTTGCGGACCCTCGATGGCCTTCATTTCCGGGCCTTGGTAGTGCCTTGGTCAGTGAAAGGTAGCTTGGTGGTACCCTTCGTTTCTGGACATGAAGTCATGAAAGCCATGATGGTCATTTTCGGATTTAGGTTGTTCAGGTTGTTAGGTTTAGGTCCTCAGTACCCTTCATGACGTTCATGTCCGGAAATGATGGGTCCTGGGCAATCCTCACGGCAACGTGGGGGTGGCAGGTTTGCATTGTGTGGCGATTGTGTGAATACTTGCTGATTCAATGTGCAATATTGATATTGGTTCATGGCGACACCGGTTCAGTTGATATTGGTATTGATTTGTGATGACTCTGTATCAATGTATGATGCGATATATTCTGATTCAATTTGTAGGAGCTTGGAAGGATGCTTGCGACTAGTGTGGTTGGGGCTGGTGACTGGGGTCTGTTGAATTTGTTTGCGTGGAAGATAGAATTTCCTGTCGGTTGTGAGCCAATGCAGAATGGTGGAGTCGTTGCCGTCAGCTAATGATGCATCAGCACAGGACAGTGCCATAAATGGCGTGTTGAATTGTGCCAGGCATCGATCGCGTGCAGAATTTGGCATCCATCTGTGGACACAATGTAATCCCCTTTCGTTTCGAGCCAGCGAAATGGTGTGGCGCTATCAGGAACTTGTTTTCTTCCTTCCAGTGGTAACGTTGATCCGGCTGCACAATGCTCAAAGGGGTGAATGGGAAATGTTGGCATCTGGTTATGCAACGAGGGCCTGGCATCTGCGGATTGAATGGGCTTACAAGATTGAATATTTCCCAACAAATGGATAGTGGCCGTGCAAGGGCGGAACTACCCCAGGAGTTGAAAGGCATGCTCTCGCAGATTGCAAGGTCTTGTTACAGTGCACCCGTGCACTGTGAATAATGCAGAGTGCTGAATTGATCAACAGCCAGATATCGTGAAGCCAAGATTCCTGTACGAGCAAGTGGTATTGGCATGTGAGCAGGACAGCAAGGAGGCTGCCGGCCCAACAGGAAGCACGCAGGGGGAGGCGAGAAAAAGGCGTGGAGCTCCGGAGCTTGTGTATGGTGTGTGTATCTCCACTCGAAGGATGGAAGCATAATGGAATCCCAACCTCACCTTCAGTGCAAAAGTACATTGTTGTCCCTGTGCTGAGGGGTCTGGCAGAAAGTTGGGAAAACAGAACAGACCGTTGCACTGTCAACACAAGTAACGCGGATTCCTTATCAAGCAGGCACTAGTATCAGATGCTGTTGTGCAGAACTTCATTGTGCTCAGAAGGCGTGAATGAAATTCCCCTGATCGAAAATGAGCTGTCAGATGTCCTTGTGCACATATTTCCTACAAGTCCCTCAGGTGGGATATCAGGCTTTTGTGTGAGAACACACTGTAGTTTTGTTCTTTGCAGAGTTGGTGGCTTTTTGTGTGCCGGGCATGCAAGTGGCCATTCCTTCTTTGAGCGTTTATTCGATCCAACCATTCTACCACCCTAAACAATGGACAGGTGGCATCTCATGGACACCACATTTGTCCTGCCTCTGGCAAAGCATGTCATCATGTCCATGCTCGATGCATATTGTTGTTGTTCAGAAAGGTCACCACAAGAGACTTGCCTCCTTTCCGTGCCAGTAAATTCCAAATACATTTGCAACCTAAATGTCAGTCTTGTACAACTCGAAACCAAAGTCAGAATATGTAAAAGAGAATATGCAAGAGAGAAGCCCTTTGCACATTCACGTTGTTGGGAGAAAGAGTCCCATGGGAGCCGCCTGAGTGCCATAGTCTACGGAGGTGGGCTCCGCACTCCACTCATGTTCTGTGAAGTCGCAGTTGATAACTTTTGCATCCACAGAGCATCACAAAGGCGCCTGCCCCCAAAGGCGATGACCTGCACTCAAAGATGCAAATGCACGTTTGTTCTCCATTTGTTCAAATGTCACCTGCGCTTGGTGGAACCAAAGCTCAAATCTCATGCTACAAGTCCTGAAACCATTTCACAGGGAGCATAACTAGGCGTTGAAGTGATTGGCTTGCTGAGCACGTGCGATTTTCTGTTCTATCTTGCAATGATAATTGGTTGCAAAGAATGCTGTGCAGGTGAAAAGTGCCTTATCAGCAGAAACAGTATCTTGAACAAGCAAAAATTCAAGTCCCTACGCTTGACATTGCCTGCTAAATACTTTGTTTGTCATATCTTCTTCAAAGATGGTTATCCATGCAGTCACCAATTTTATGCCCTGCTGTATGCAAGCCCCTCCTGAGCAAGGTATTTATGAGCCACTGTGTCTTGCTTCAACAGGACAGGCACACGAAACAGAGTGTTGCAGGCGCAATGCTCCCATCTAGCTTGCGATTGCGCAATAGATCCACTGTGTCCAGATGTTGGATATTGAGGGTACCATTGCTGGCAGAGAGTCTGCCCAAAGGAAAAGGAACTGAACAGAAGGATCACATGGGGCCTTGCGTCATGGTTAAACATTCGGAAGATTCAAAGCACATATCAAAATAGCACAACCAGCAGTACAACAATGGAAAAGACAGGAACCTTCGAAGTTTGCCGCAGGCTTGTAGTCCTGTGAACGAAGAGGCACATCCAGAGGAACCTTCCAACGGTTATTTCGTTGCACTCACGGTGGCTGTTCCTGCAGTCCCATTGGCATGCGCTTTCTGGGTGTCCAGAGACATCACTTCAGTTAGATTGTGGTGAAATTACTGCAACATTGGAAGCATGGCATTGATGGGTACAAGCTTTTTGTATGCACAGTCTGAGCACAAACATATGTTCGTTCACTGTTGTTTGGATTGCCTGGAGCAATGACACCAGCAAGTGTCTGTCTTCATCCCGTGCTGATGGATCTTCAATGTGGCCAAAACTTCTCAACTTGTCCCCTGATGGGACCGGCACTCACTGCGTCGACCAAGGGAATGAATTATATCTTAACGTTGTTGAGTGTGGTGCAGATGCGGAGCGGCCTAACTGGTTTAGTGAGACCGACATGGAGTTTCTTGTGGGCTCAAATGCAAATGAGACGAACTCATCCTACAATTTGTCCGTGGAGGAGCAAGATGTCATAAAGGTAGGTTCTTCAATACCAACAGAAGGTACCTTGTGTAGCAAGACGGCATTGAACGAAGTTTCAGGATTTGGCTTCCAGGCCTGGCGCAGATTGAAACATTTCGCACAAGTGGTCAGGAACAGCTTGCGCATGGGTCCATGTTTGCAATAGCTTTGCAAAAGAAAAAAGAAAAAAAGAAATAAACATACTGTACATATGTATGTATGTATTATTTGCAATGGCAGCTCTTTGTAAACTGAGGAAAGTGAGATCAAATCAACTGAATTTGTTGAACATGAGTATGCCAACTTCTAGAAGATGGGCCAGGGCAAATGAGTTGCTGTGCTCCTGTCACGATCTGCTGAGTTGGCAAGGCACGGCGCTGTGAGAATAACACTGTAGCAGGCAAAAACAATACAGTTGCTCCTCCAGCACAGGTCTTACAGTTTCGATCCATCAGTGCCTGCTGAAATTTTAGTGCTGATGATGGCAGAGCCAACAGTTTGATTCAGTACATGGCGGCTGCTTGTGCACCAGTGCTTATGTTCTACAGAAAAGAGGATATGCTTCTGATGTATCTTGCTTTGCAAGGGCCGATCAAGTGCATCGGTATGAAATGCTGAACTTGTTTTCTGGCAAATAGTTCATAGGGTGATCGATCCTTTTCTTGGCGACAGATCACCCAGGCGCCTGGTTTTGGGCCTCGTTTTGCACTGCGTAGAACTTGCCAGGCAGTCAAGTGCATGCTTGTACTTTCACCACCCTCTGCAGTACAGTGGTACAATAATGCAGATGCGAACCAGTAAGTGTATTGGCTGAAGAAAGGTGCCATGCATATGTGCCCTGGCTACAGACTTACCAACATCGCATGCATGGCTCCATCCATGTAAACAGATGGAAAATTGGCTGGAAAGAAGCGCTTGCTGGTGCTACCACGGAAAGCGCCCGACATCACACAATAGGTGGAAGGCACCACATTGTCATGATCTGGTAAATTTGGCCAATACATGCTTGCGCAGCAATCTAATGTTGGGCATGTACAGTGCAGAGAAGGCTGCTTCTGGCTGGAGGCCTAACTGCAGTTGTGGCAGCGGCTGCTCTAATTCCGCCTGACCTGATTCAGTTCAAGCCATCGGGCCCATTGTCATCATACATCTTGCCACTGCTGAGGAGTCGAGTGAGTGGGGACTGCAAATGCTGTCTTGATCAATTTGGCTGAAGCTGCCAAAAAGTGACAAATCATTGCAAGGTGACAATAGGCGATCCTGCTATTACTGAGATATGTGCATGCCACTGTCCAACATGCCAGCCCAAACATGCCCAGACCATTCTGAAAGGGACACGTTAATGGTCGATTTGTTGATCGATGTTGATTGCACCTGCACCCTCAATCGTCTTTCAGGTGCAATGTTTTGTTTATCTTGCCTTTTTTGATCAGTGGAATAAGCATTTCTAAAAGAAATCGAGCCCATGTTGCATATCTATATATTCGTGAACGGTGTTCACCAAAACTTAAAAATAGGTGGGGGAGGGATGAACTTAAGAATAAGAAAGGGCCTGTCATTTGTTGATAAGGTGCTGCAGCAATGTTTTGCCCTGATAAATTAGGTGTAATCGCAAAGACACTATGCCATGCCCGCAATTGGCCTTGTGGCAATTATTTCAAGGTGCAAGTATGGACAACCAAAGTTTTGGCTGCTGCTGCTGCTAGATGGAACAGTATTGCATCGCAGACTGGGAGCTGTGCTGTTGGACTGTGGTGTGTGGCACACAAGGAGTACCTTTTGGTACCTGGGATCTAGCTGCCTCAGAAACTCAGGGGTTACATGCAGACTTACAGGGCTTGTTGCTGTGTTTGGCAGTGCCGCTCCAGATCAAAAGACATCCTGTGCTTGATTTCTGCACCCCCGTTTGTGTTCCAGTCGCAGAACGAAATTTGCTGCTGTGACAGCAGCTCGTCTCAGAATGTGGATTGTGGTGAATCTTCTGCAGGCTCTGCTGGGAGAGGCACAAGAATACATTGGGAATGCAGACTGGCAGCAAGTCCGGTTGATACTGGATCGGATCAAGGGACCACCAAACAACACAAAGGAGAATCTGTTTGCTGCATCCAGCCTCCTGGACAGCAGGGCAACCCAGCAGCGGGCAGAGCAGCTGGCCAAAGATTTCCTCGACAACTTGGAAGCGGTGGGTCTTGTGCCCTTTTGCCAGGCACATTGCTGACGTTTGGGCCATTAGTTTGCAGCGCACCAAGATTCATACTTTGTTGCACCCCATTGTGCGAAAGGTTTCTTGCTGGGCATGCTGGGTGCTGTCGTGTGCTGTAACGTTGTGTTTGAAGATTTTTTCATTCGTCTGCCACAATTTGGCAGGGAGGATTGCCATCATTGCTGAGGAGGTTTTGCCCAATGCATGACGTTGTTCTCTTTTGTGTGCTGAAGAGTCCTCCTTTGGTGTGAAAGACAGGTAAGTTTTCTGTGGTCAGCAGGAACGCCTTAATTGAGGCATTTAATGAGTAAGAGTCTGCGGTGGCATAACACTGTGTGCAATATGGCATCGGCCGAAACTGGCAGCATGGGACCAATTTGGATATCATGGCATGGCCACCGAATGGAAGTTCAACATGAAACGGTATTGCGTCTCCGTTCCGAGGCAGCCACTTGCCACAGCCTGAAAGCTCATCCCCAAATGGTACCAACATGGTCCACCTCACCATTTGATATCAGTGTGGAGGAGCAAAATGTGAAGGGTAGAATACACACAGCAGGACAAGATGAGCACAGCATATAGAACTAAGATACATGTTGGTGCTGAATGGAGTTGGGCTTTCTCCAGATCGACTACAACAAATACTTTGAGGACCGCAGTAGGAGCCCCGACCAGGGTGGCGCTGCGCAGCAGCGCTTCGTCAACTTTTCGTTGCAGGCCCTTAAGGCCACGACATCCAATCTGGACGCTTTCTTGAGGCTGATGCCAAGCACGGCTCTGGAAGAGGCACGGCAGGAGCTGGAGTCGGTCTACAATTGATTCGCAGTTTTAGAGCAGAAGCGGCTGAAGGATGATCCAGGATGGGCTGATCTTGAAGATCATGGCGTGGAGCTGGTCTACAATTGAGTCTGAGTTTTGGCGCAGAGGTGGCTGGAGGATGGGCTGATCATGGCTTGAAGATGGCTTGAAGCTCATTCAAAGGCCTGAAGATCACTGTGAGGAACTATCCAAGACTATTCGACCTGGATATACACCCAGATATCCATGGGTTGTGATACGACGATGTGGAACTGTATGGGCCGATCCAGGACGCTGAGGGCTGTTTGATGACGTGTTATCCATGTAGGGCGGTGGATAAGTGTGCATCTGCATTCACTATCAGAGCAACGCAGCGGTGACACATTGGCCTGGATGGTTGCCCATCCTGGAACGATTGCAGGGAGGTCATGGGTGGCGTGTTGCATACTGGCACATGCTGGCAGCTGGGCAGCGCTTCTCGGCCCTGGCATCGGGTTGATGGAATCGGGCTCGTCTTCTTCGTCCCAGCACAATTTTGGGGCGTGGCCGTGCCTTGGCACAGTTCAAGCGAACCTTTCAGCCGAGTTTTTTGTGGCAGTGTTTTGGTGTTGTGGGCGAGCTGGACAGCGCAATTGTGGATCAAGACGAATTGAAGAACCTGAAGACTGTTTGTCACCAGCCTGCTTTATGGCTGTGGCTGCAATGTGTGCACGTGAGTCTTTCAAATCCTTTGAGTGCATTTGTCACCCAAGCATGACAAAACACTGCCCTTGCACCTTACAGGCGATGATGGACATGAATTCCAGACCTGTGTTGATTATCGTATCTCATTGTTTCTTCAATGCCACACACGAGTCTTGCTCAATGCTATATATGAGTCTTGTTGTCTTGAATTTCTATAATCGGGTCGTGACCCGGCGGTTGAGTGCAAGAAGGCGTATACGCCTTTTGGACGGTATTTTCTGGCCAGCACATTTCGAAAATGCGGAGCTTGGCCTTGTATATGAAAATGGATATGGTAACATAAAATCCTACAAAATGCTCACAGGAAATGAACAATGCGTTTGCAAGGCATCCGGGTTTTCAGTGAATGCATGTGTGGTTCAGTATGATGTTCCCCTGGGAAGTTTATTAGCAGCTTATAAGTAATGTATGTATAGGGGCAATGCGCATGCTTTGTTGCAATGCAGCCCAGAATAGCACAGCATAGCTCAGCGCACGTTGAGGATGTTGTTGGGAGAGGGGGATAGGCTGGTTGGTCTTGCGAAGGCTTTGGGCCACTTTTCTCCCCTGACTTCTAGTCTCTTTGGCAGAGAATATGGCGTCCCAGCACAGTGCGCTGTTGCCCCTCTGTGGGAGGAGGATAAAGGTGGACACGCTGGTCGATCTGTGTGTGTTGCAAAGCTTTTCATGGGAACTCACTGTGGCACGCTGTCGCTCATGTGCCCAGCTCGAAGAGGGCGTTTTTTGTTGAATAAACATTGTTGGGAACAACTCTGTGACCAAGACGAAAGTCGCATCGATGAAGAGAGGTGTTCAAGGGCATCGTGCAGCAAGCAAGTCAGAAAAAAGGTGATCTTTGTGAGTGGCCTTTTCATTGGCTGCCCATTTCCTCTTGGTGCCCTTATACAGGGCTGTGGGTAGGATAGCTGCTTGATTGAGTAGCATTGTGGCAGCGACTCATCAGCCATTGTGGCAATCGCACGGGAGGTCATTCAAGATTATTTATGCTTCGTTTACACCATAGATCATGGAGGATGCCCCCACCCCCCACCCCACACTCCGCACACACACCACCACCACCACCCTCTGCATGGGGCATCAGAATTGGGGTTAAGAACGTGAGGGGACTGCTTTGCGTAGGCCCTGCGTTCTTTATCAAGTCGACGAATCACTAACTCACATATGTTGCCTCACCACCAAATCAAACAATCACATCAAATACCAGTCCAAATTAGGAACTCAATGACAGCAGCAGTGGGCAATTTGCACTGTAAGGGAAGGTGCTATGTCGATTTTGTTACGCTTAGAGCATCTTTATCGGTCGGTGCTATTGCACCGGTGGAGCTATCCAGGAACGGTTCTCATTGGCTGCCGTGCCACCTTACTAAGGCGGCATTGGCCGAATAGCGCCAGTGCTATTGCTCCCATGCGCGCATCCCCAATGGCGGGTGCTATGCCTATGCCAAATAGCATCACGGCAGCACTACAACGTGCTGCGCGAATAGCACCGGAGCTATTCTGGGGTGCTATTCGGCCCCGAGCGGTGCTATGTGGGGCCAAAATGGCGCCGCTCGGCGCCGAATGGCTCCGGGGGTGCTATTGGGGTGCTATTGCTCCCCAACCGTTAATGATGGTTTTTTGACGTGCGGTGCTATTCGGATAGCCGAATAGCTCCGCCGGGACAATAGCACCCACCAATAAAGATGTTCTTAGAGCATCTTTATCGGTCGGTGCTATTGCAACGGCGGAGTTATCCAGGAACGGTTCTCATTGGCTGCCGTGCCACCTTACTAAGGCGGCATTGGCCGAATAGCGCCGGTGCTATTGCTCCCCTACGCGCATCCCCAATGGCGAGTGCTATGCCTATGCCAAATAGCATCACGGCAGCACTACAATGTCCTGCGCGAATAGCACCGGTGCTATTCTGGTGTGCTATTCGGCCCCGAGCGGTGCTATTCGGGGCCAAAATAGCGCCGCTCGGCGCCGAATGGCTCCGGGGCTGCTATCGGGGTGCTATTGCTCCCCTACTGTTAATGGGATTAACTATCTTGTTAAGTGGTTTCCGCCCAGGGCGACGAGGGGCGGGCGCGCTGGCCCACTTGGGCCAGCGCTGCTTAAAGTACAATGGTTTTGGCGGCCCCTTGGGGTTTCTGTCCCCCTGTACCTTGGGTCAGTGGCTGGTCCGTCGCGTTCAAGGAGGGCCAGTGGTTTTTGGCGCCCTTGGGAGCGGCGGTCTTTGGCTGGCGCGAGCGGGGAGGCTACTTAGGCTCACCCCTCGGTCCCCACCTTATCTTGTTTCGCTTCGCGCCAACCCTTTGGCACAACCCGGACCCACCGAGTGGGTCTCGACCTCCGGCTCTTTACCGAGTTCTTGCCTATGAACCCGTCCCCTGCGGAGCAGTGGTGCCGGGAACAAGCTCGCCGGTTCAACAACCGTATTCCGAGCTCCGCTATCGAAGCCTGCTGGTTGCCCGACCCGGCGCTACTCCCCCAGTCCGTCAACAACCCGGTCGCCCGACCGGTGGGCGCCCGTTCGCCGTACTGGTTCGACGTCCGCGACACCGCCGAGGGGAGTGCGGTCGCCGCCTCTTTGGGCGCCAACTCCGGGTACTTCCAGGAGTACGCGGGCTGGGCTCCTCCTGTCTCCTGGCTGTTCGACACGACCGCGGCCTTTGTGGAGGTGGCCGCCCATCCCGATCTCCCGGCGTCCGTACGGGAATTCCTCCTCCCCTACCTTTACTCGTACGTGGAGGTCACCGAAGCTCTCCACGACCAGCTCTCCTTGCAGCGCATCCACGCCAAGCACAAGGGCTCGGGCCTGGAGGGATCGTGGCGGGCCATTCAGGCGGAGATCCGCCTTGCCGACCGCGGTCTGCGCTTCGGCACCGCTCGCGTCGACGGGACCATCGAGCGCATGCGCAAGGAGCTTCTGACGCAAGAATTGAAGCACGCCACCAAGACCGTGGCCGCCAAGAAGTCTACCTCCCCCCCGTCGACCTCGGCCCCCTCGACCGGCCCCAAGGCCCACAAGGGATCTCGCCCTCCGGGCCCCTCTCCCAAGCCGGCTCCGTGAAGCTTTTCCCGTACAACCGGGTCCGCGGACGCCTTTCGGCGTGGCGTCGCATCGGCGCCCCCTCCCGCATCCTCCAATGGATCCATTCCGGGACTCCGCTTCTGTGGGGACCGCGTGGACCGCCGGCTCCCTTCGACGAGGGCTCCTACCCGCTCCGCTCCTCGGCGGAACGGGCGGCCTGGCAATCCCTTCGAGCGGACTACCTCTCTTCGGGCGCGATCACCAAAGTGGAGCCGGGCCCCCACTCGCGCATATCTCGGGCCTTCCTGGTGGAGAAGGGGCGGGAAGATGGGGTCATGAAGTACCGCCTTTGCATCGATCTGCGACGGGTCAACCGTCACCTTCGCAAGGTGGGCCTTCGTTATGAGAAATTACGTGACTTCGGTCACTTACTTCGCCGAAATGACTCATTGGTGGGATTCGACATCAAAGATGCTTATCATCATCTTCGCGTGTGTCGATCGGAGGAATGTTTCCTCCAATTTCGGATGGGAGATGAAGTTTTCGCCTGTCAAGCTCTCCCTTTTGGCCTTTCGTTGGCTCCTTTCTTTTTCACCCATTTGATGCTTGTTGTGGGTCGTTTCTTGAGGTCCCCGGGCAGTTGCCCCAAGGCTGCTCGCCATTTCCGTTTTGGGTGCCTAGCAGGGGATGACTCAATAGCTACATACTTTCACGTGTATACTAGTGAACCGCCAGCCATTTTGTTGGCTTATCTCGATGATTTTTTGGCGGCCATGCATGATGCCGCACGTTTGACTCGATGGTCGAAATTGGTTCGGGGTGTGTTTGCCTCGCTGGGCCTCTAATTCAAGGAGCGGAAGTGTCAATGGACCCCGGTCATGCGCAAGAAGCATTTGGGGGTGATTGTGGACACGGCCCATGGCCGTTTTGAGGTTCCTCCGGACAAGGCCGCGTTGATCGCCACTCAGGCCCGCATTTTGCGATCCAGCCACTGGGTTGTGGCAAGGGATTTGGCACGTTTTTGCGGCCTCGCCATTTCCCTTTATTTGGCTTTTCCTTTGGCACGATTTTTCTTGCAAAGCCTCTACGCGGTTCTTTGCTCCAAGCGCAATTGGCGGGATCGCCTGATCCTCTCCCCCCAAGCCCGGCTGGACTTGGAGGCGTGGGTCAACATCCGCCGCTGCGAAGGCCGTCCACTCAACCCCGACGCAATCCCCTTCGCCGGTACTTTGGCAACGGATGCCAGCCTGACCGGTTGGGGGGCCACCTTTGCTCCCCCGACGAGGTCCCGCCCCCTCCTCGCGAGGGGGTTTTGGGACCATTCCTTAATGCACATCAATGTGCGTGAGATGCAGGCGGTGGAGCGAGCCATTCTCAGCTTTTTTCCGGCTGCTTCCCATGGCCTTCCTTCGAGGCTCAAGCTGCTGGTCGACAACCAGGTGGTCATGTACTGCCTGCGCAGCATGACTACCCATTCCAAGCAGGTCCTCACCCCCCTTCGTCAGCTGCACCGAGTCTGTACGGCGCGCCACCTCCTGCTCGACCCGAACTATATTCGGTTGGAGGACAACGTTATACCGGACAGGCTGTCCCGGGTTCGGGTGGCGGACGACTACCAACTGCACCCGGCCATTTTCAAGCGCCTGACTCAGCGCTTCGGTCGCCGGTCGTGCGACCGCTTTGCTTCCGCGGCGAATTCCCTCTGCCCAAGGTACAACAGCCTGCACGCGGACGTGGGGAGTGCGGGACGGACGCCTTTCTCCAAGACTGGATGGGGGACACCAACTGGTGCAACCCCCCTTGGTGCCTCCTTCCCCGGCTCGTCTCCTTCCTCGCCGCTCGGCCCGCCGTGGAGGCCGTCGTCGTCGCGCCGGATTGGCTGAGCGCGCTTTGGTTTCAGCCGCTCCGGACTCTTGCCGCGGAGGACCTTCTGATTCCCCGCCATCTGGGGATGTTTTGCCCAGGGGATCCGACTCTTCCGGCCCACCTTCCTCCGCCGAAGTGGAACCTTCGGGCATTTCATGTCCGCCCTCGGACGCCTCCCTAGGGGCGGGCGCTCGGTCACCCTCCTGGGAGAATGCGCTTCCCCCCGATGATCCGCTCCCGGTGAAGGCCATGCCGATCGATCACCCCCTCTGCGGGCTGGACGTCGACGGCATGCTGCAATCGGACTGCGCATGGATGCAGTCTCAATTTTTGTCTTTCTACACGGAGTCGACGAGGAGATCCATGCAGGCCAAGTTCGCCAAGTTCCAGGCGTTCTGCGCCTCCGTGGAGCTCCAAGCCCTCCCCGCCCGCCCGGCCACGATCTACCGTTACATCTGGTTTCTGCGGGAGGAGGGCCGGGTGGGCGTCCGCAGCCTCCCGCAGTACCTGGCCGCCATTTCCATGGTGCACCAGGTCGCCGGCCATCTGCAGTTTTCCGCCTTCGACCGGGTGACCCGTTTGCTCACCCGGTCATGGCGTCGTCAATGCCCGGAGCCTGCGGCCTCTCATGCTCCGGTGCCGGCCACCTTGATGCTCCGCATTCTGGAGCGTGGCCTTCACACCGACGACCTCCTCCTGCTGCGGGCGTCGGTTTCCGCCCTGTTGGACTTCGTTTTCTTTAATCGGGCCCAGAGCGGCTATTTCATTCTGTTGGATGACGTGCGGGTGACGGATGGCGTTGTGATCTTCCGGGAGCGCAAGACCAAGCTCAAGCCCGATTCGGACCTGGTTGTCCGCCTCCGTTCCTGGCCTTCGCAGGTCGCCCCCGAGCTTGTGAATTTACTACTGCGTTGGGGCGCCTTTCGGGATCGCGCCTGGGCGGATGCGGGTGGGACGCCGACGCATTTCTACACTCTCCCGGGCGAACGCGACCCGTCCGCCCGCACGGTTTCCTCCTGGTTTCGGGACCTCCTGGCCTCCTCTCCCGACCTGCACCCTGGCGCTTTCGATCACCATGGTCTACGCGCGGGTGGGGCGTCAGCCTGTTTCGCCTTGGAGGTGCCCGAACAGCGCATCCGCCACTGGGGCGACTGGCGGGGCGCTGCCCTCTGGCGGTACATCGATGTGTATCGCATCCCATCAGAGTGGGACTATCGCCTTTTCGGGTGGATGACGATTACCGCCCGGGACTTGCATGACAGGTATGGCCACATCTTCTGCTCCGGAGGAGCGCAGTGTGTTTGAGGGTGACTGGGCACACTAAGTTGTGGGTACCTCGGGTTGTATTGGGACAAAACAATGTCGTGTAATGTATTGGTCCAGTGTGTGTGTGGACCTGGGTGGGACAAGGAGCCCGGCCCGGCGGAAATGGGATTAACTATCTTGTTAAGTGGTTTCCGCCTAGGGCGACGAGGGGCGGGCGCGCTGGCCCACTTGGGCCAGCGCTGCTTAAAGTACAATGGTTTTGGCGGCCCCTTGGGGTCTCTGTCCCCCTGTACCTTGGGTCAGTGGCTGGTCCGTCGCGTTCAAGGAGGGCCAGTGGTTTTTGGCGCCCTTGGGAGCGGCGGTCTTTGGCGGGCGCGAGCGGGGAGGCTACTTAGGCTCACCCCTCGGTCCCCACATTATCTTGTTTCGCTTCCCGCCCGGCCCCCCTTATTAGGGTGATGTTCGGTTGATTTGGGCAAGTGTGGGAGTTAAGGACGTGGAAATGAGGAGTGGTGGGTCTGACTCAAGGGCTGAGTCTTGTATGGGACTGGCTTAACTACTAGCGAAGCGATTGGGCACACTAAGTTGTGGGTACCTCGGGTTGTATTGGGACAAACAATGTCGTGTAATGTATTGGTCCAGTGTGTGTGTGGACCTGGGTGGGACAAGGAGCCCGGCCCGGCGGAAATGATGGTTTTTTGACGTGCGGTGCTATTCGGATAGCCGAATAGCTCCGCCGGGACAATAGCACCCACCGATAGAGGTTCTTAGCGTCAATTTGCTCTGTCGACCGAGCAGGCCCTCCTGCCGCAAGATCCCACCCGCCCCGGAGCTCCTGCGAATCTCCCCGTGCATCGCCCGACCTCGACATGGCCCAACGACGGTCCCATGCAGCCGCCTCAGTGCGGCCTGCCCCCTGGATGAGCTCCTTGACATCCAAGCGGAGGTCCGCCGCCGCAACGTTTGCATTTGCAGCCTCGCGGACTCGTCGGCGGAGTCGGTGGTGGAGTTGGGCGCAACTGTCGGGAAGCTGATTGGCGGGCTGGTCGGACATGGGCTTGCGGTGACGTGGAGCGTGTGGGGCGTTTTTCACTGGATCATCCACGTCCGGTGAATGTGCACGTCAGTACGCTGCAGGATAAGGTCGCTATGTTGCAGGCCAAGGGTGCGCTGTACGGAACTTCTGTCCCCAGTGCTTTCCGAGGGGTGCGCATGTACCATGATTTATCTGGGGCGCAATTGGACTGCAAACAGCGCCCTCATGGCATCTTTGAGGGTTTTTTGGCTGCGGCTGTCAAGGGCGTTTGGAGACGGGGCTACGGCTTGTACGCCCTCATTTCAGGTAGTTGGGTTGAGTTTTACCCGACCTCGCTGCTTGTCTAGGGCCTCTGGATGTGGGCGTTTGGTCCCATACTTTGCCGATATTTTTTTCAAGGTGGTTGGCTCTGGGTGGCACTGCTAGTTCTGGGTCGTTGGGCATTGGTGGGTTGTCTTTCTGGTTGTTTCTGGGGTCGGTGCCTGTACTGCTCCTTTGCACTTTTCCTGATTTTTCTCACTTTCTGGAGTTTTCTATTTGATTTCGTTCGTTGTTATATCTCCTGGTGATTTTCCTGTGGGTCTGCTCAGCTTCAACACCGTGGGTGACTACTGCGCACGATATCTGGTCTGGACCCCAACCCCACACACACCCCTAGCGTCAAATTGACGCTAAGCGTACCGAAATCGACATAGTGTCTTCCATAAAGTTTCTGCGACTTCAAAGGATCGCTGCATCCCTTGACAGTGAACGAGTATATCCCATCATGGGAGTGGCATACCCCCAAACTAGCTAACATACGCGCTCTACAGCAGTGGCCATGTTCAATAATGCGGCGGGCGTCTTCTAAGGGCTCCGGCGCTATTCAACACACTATGCGCTATCCAGCGTGATCTGCGGTACTTCGTTTTGCTGCACATGCAACGAGGGGGCGGCAACTCGGCAGTGGCTGGTCACAAAATCCACTTTGATTTTCACACGGTACATGCAAAAGTGATCCACATGACCAATACAATATCCATCTGGAATGATGTCCGCAAACATCAATCCAGAAACCAGCGCCACTGCGATGCCTTGTGCCACCCAGGCGGGGCCCTCGTGTCCCACCCCGTCGCCTTCCTTGCCCCCTCTCCCCCAAAAAGCCCACATCCCTCCACTGCCAGCCTCTGCATCCTCGGCATCGCCGCTAGTGCCCCCACCCCCTCCCTCGTGATCCTCGGGCAGCAAACCAGCCTCAGCCATGTGAGGGACCTCGCCATGGCCAAGCTGCCCAGCCCGAAGTCTGTGACGTCTGCCCCAGCAAGCCACAATTCTACAAGCCCCGTCAGGGATGCCAATCTCACCACGCCGGCGTCCTTGATGCCCTGGCAATTCCACATCTTGAGAGTCTTGAGCGATGTCAGGAATGCCAATCTACCCACCATTGAGTCAGAGATCCCGGTGCAGTCCCAAAGGGCGAGGCAGGAGAGGGGCAGATGGGCACCACACAAGCCGACACCTCGCAGCCAACTGATCCAGCAAGTGCCTGACACATTCCGTGCATGGGTCGCCCACTTGGCCGCGCCCAGCTGTAGGTCCACCAGGGATGTCAGCTTGCTCAGCACGCTGGCACCGCGACGGGACACTCTGAGCATGTTTGCAAGGTTGAGGCTTGTGATGGATTGGCATTGCACCAGGGATGTCAAGGCGTCATTGGTGACTGCGTTGCAGGACTCCAAGCTCAAGGCTGTCAATGCCGGCAGCCCCATCAGGGTCCTCAGGCCGATGGCCGTCACTCGCTCATTGTCGGACAGGTCCAGGCCTTCCAGGGCTGACAGGGCCGACAAGCTTCTCACACCAAGATCCGTGACCCTGGAATTGCCGCTGAGGTTCAAGAACCTGAGGGACTGCAGGCAAGTCAGCCAGCCCACCTGCCTGTCCGTTATGTGCGTCCTTTTCAGATCCAGGACTGTGAGGGACGTCATGGTTCCCAAAAAACCCAAAACTCCTGCTGCAATGGGGAACTTTCGCAAGGAGAGCTCCCTTAGCCCTGTCAGTGCTGCCAAATGCCAGAGCTCCCCCTCAGACAACCTGTGGCACATACACATCTTGAGCGCCGCCAAGCCCGTGCACTTGCCCAGCAAGTCCACGCCAGTCTTGGTAATCAACATGCCGTATTTCAGTTCCAGGCGGCGTAATTTTGGCAGCCCAGCCAAGGCAGAAATGTGCGAGTTGGTTATACGCAGGTCCGCAGGCAGATAGAGGTCTTGCACATTGGGGAAAGCCGTCGCAAGTGCCTCCAGCATGCGGTGCACAGAGGCATGGTCGGCTTGATGACAGTGGGGGCGAAGGGAGGTGGTGGCTTGTGTGGCCCAGTCACGCCAGTGGCGGTTCACGAGCCGGGCGCTCTTGAGCAGAGGAGAGGAGTCCCAGTCCCAGCAGCTGGCTTCAATGGCCGACTTCATGGCATCCAGCAGTTCTGTGGGCAGCTCGCCCCATCCCCCATCGATGACATGAACCTGAAAACATGTGCTCAACTATGAATCAAAACCGCAAACCTGCAAAATCCCTCAATCTAATCAACCTTGAATCAACTCTCTATGCTCATGAAATTCATTGAATTCGGTAGGTGGTTCCTTTAATGTTCTTGGATTGTACTTGCCTCACGAGGCCACAACAATCCCTTTGCACGTCGATGGGGATGATAGGCAAAAGTTGAATTCGTTCTGGGCGCAATATGCAGCTTTGATTGATTTTGCAGGGAATACAAGCCTTACATACAGAGCAACTCCAACAGCCTGGACGTGTTGCCATTCGCAAGCATATTGGAGCACCTCCTTTCATCGAGAACAAGACTGTGTGGATGATGCACTTCATTCACATCTACATACATGTGCAGAGGTGAACAGAAACCACTTCATGGCCAGATGTGCTCACAACAGAGCTCAGCAATATGTTGATAATTTAAACTCCAGGAGTTCATACCAATAAATGCATGCATGCGCAACTGATATGTGTTTGAAACCAACATGTGCTCATAATGGAATTTATGAATATGGAAAGAAACAGTTCCCTTATCAAGTCATGGCAATTGCAGCATTGGCAAGCGCGACAAGATCAAGTTGCTCACAGATGTCAGTTCTTTGGCCACAGCCAGCCCCTGTTGCAGTGCTCCACAACTGCCCCCGCTTGCGGAAAGCAATTGGGTTCTGTCTGGCTTCGATTGGAAGGCGTGCCTTCCGGCAAACACACCGTGACAGTTTGTGGCTAGACATGCTTCTTGATGAGAAAGAATGTCACAGAACAGGCATCCCCCTTGTGGGCATTATCAAGTTGCAAACTTTCCATACCGTTGTCCATATGGTGGAGATGATGTGCAACTGGCCGCAAGCGGCAGAAAAGAAAGTAACAAGAAGGGCAATGCGTAAGACAGCTTGTGCTTAAGGGAGCATGTTGTGTTTGCACACATGCAAAAAGTGGCTCTCACCATGCGGTCCTCAATCTCTGAACTTGTCATCTCCTGCCTATCTTTCACTCAAGACCATGGCCCCTTGCACTGAAAGCAGTTTGTTCGTGTTTGGAATGAAGCGTTGAAGCACCTGGCGAGCCACCTTTGCACCACCCAATCGCTCAGACAAGAAAAGCTGTTAATAGTTGGCAATGCTCAACACAGCAAATTCAGAAGTACAACATAGACCAGGATCAATTGCATGGCAGCATACACTGGATGCGGTGCCCTGATGCTTGTTTGCTTTGTCATGTATCTGCTCTCTCTTCAGCAATTTACTCCTTAAGTTTAGATGCTAAGTCAAAACTCAGAATCTGCCCCTGCTTGAGGAAACAATCTACGGTTCCAAACAGAATTGGTGATGCAGAATCAGCACCTGGCAAGTTAGCTGCAACGCAAAAGCTGTGTGCCTTTCTGCAGTTGCTATTTGCTGTAGCTCGATGTGAGTTTGTTGTCAACTGCTTACTTATAAGCCCTTGCTGTAGTTGCTGTTGTAAGGTTGTTTGCTGCACCGTTGGCTTGTTCACGCCAAACACAAATTCAAAGCTGCTGCCCTGCCAAATTTGCTCAGAGCTTCCGATAAAGATTGTCTATTGTGTTTGAACAGCATTAAATCTAAAACAAGTCTAGAAGAGTCTAGCACCCAGTATCACCAGAATTCTCCCCCACGGTAGGTAGTCGAAGGAATTGATGGAAGTGGGAAGGGGCTCAAGGGGTCGAATATGATATCAAGTCTGTAGCCCCGTGACTGGCCATTCCGACACGGCACTACGAAGCCACGCCGCCTCACGTCCATTCCTTCCGCACGTTCCCTTCGCGCTGAGTCGGCGGGCGGGATGTTTCAGCTACATAGCTAATCGGGAACAAACAGTCCGTGGAACGCCATGTCGGAGGCAAAAAGGCCAGGGGATCGTGTCCTGCACTTGCGTCACGACTTGCGCCGCCAAGCTCACAACGAGCAGGATCGCTGATCGGGAACAAACGGCCCGCTGAACCACGAAGCAATATTCGGAGGCAGAAAGGCCGGGGGCATCATATCCGGCACTTGCGCGTTTCAACTTTCGCTTCCAATATCACGAATGGGTAAGAACACAACATGCAGGGGCACCAGCGGACGATGACGCCTGAGTCGGAGGCAGAAATGCCAGGGCATCGGGCGCAGCACTTGCGTTGCAACTTCCACTGCCAAGCGCACGAATGGAAAAGGACAAGATACGCAAGGGCGCCAGCGCGAGCGGGCCTGCCAGTTGCAGCCAGAGGCAAGCGCAGGAGAACTCTGCGCGCGGCCAGAATGGACGGAAAGGTCGGGGCGGCGTTCCGCGCGCCCAGTCGCTGACTTCTGTGGCGAGACGTGCTGGTCGATGGGGACACAATGGCGAAGGCGTCAACCAAGCAGCCAAGCGCACCTGGCTATTGGCGCCGGAGGTGCACGCACAGAAGCTGCAGGCCGGAGCCATCCGCCCTCAACAGGGCAGCAGTCACCGCACAGCGGGCGCACAGCGCGTGGGGGTCGCGCTGGCTGAAGATCACAGGTCGACCAGCGTGTTTTTCCTCTGCGAGCCGGGGTGGACGGGTGGAAACAAAAACAAAAACAACAAAAACAAGAACAAAAACAAAAACAAAAACAGGAACAAAAACAAAAACAAAAACAAAAACAAAAAAAAGAACAAGAACAAGAACAAGAACAAGAACAAGAACAAGAACAAGAACAAAAACAAGAACAAGAACAAGAACAAGAACAAGAACAACAAGAACAAGAACAAGAACAAGAACAAGAACAAGAACAAGAACAAGAACAAGAACAAGAACAAAGACCGAGACCGAGACCGAGACCGAGACCGAGACCGAGACCGAGACCGAGACCGAAACCAAAACCGAAACCGAAACCGAAACCGAAACCGAACAAAAACAAAAACGAAAACGAAACTGTTTGGAAGGAAAACTGCCAAACTGGACCCTGCGCCGGACACTCTGTCCGACCCAAAGCACTGGAAAGTGGCTTGAAGCGGAAATGACTGAAGAAACTGCAAGCTGTCCTCAATTCGGACAGGAGTGGGTTGCAATGGCAAGCAACTGCCCATTTTGTGCGGTGTTGTTTCGTGATGTATTGGTGTGCTTGGGTGTACTTGAAATGGCGTTGCAGGGCAATCCACCCTCAAAACAGCCCTAACTGTGTTGCTTTAGCCGCATGTTTGTGGCATTTTCGCCTGTGTCGGTGGGGCGCTTTCAACGCAAGTCCACAGTGGCTGCACTTCGAGTCGTCCCTGAAGCCCATGGTGTTGTGCTTTGGGCAGGCTCCCAATGCTATTAGGCGATCTCATCGTGTATTCGTGCCGCCGCCGCCTGCTAAGGTGCAATGCCTCCGCTAGGTCTTGCAAAGTTAAAACATGGAGCTTGGACAGAACATGGCGTTGCGCCTTTCTGACGGGGCGCAACTCCGCAGACTGCAATGGCACCGAAACGTCATTGCTCGCGCGGCACGCGCGCCAGTCACAGTCAGGGCCCTGACTGGCCCGTCTGGGCCACGACCGGGGTTTGGGGGCACAGCCCTGGGCCAATCAGGCCCCTGACTGTGACTCACGTTCCTGACACGCTCATGCTGGACTTTTGGACATTCTCGTTTCCGCCCTGAATGTCGTTGGGTGGCGGATAGCGGTTGAGTGGGGCCCCCCCTCCTCGCCCGTGAGTTGGAGAACCTGGCCCTCCATGCAGCACATTTGTTTCTCCACGAACAATGGTTGGCTTTCAGGCCGCCAAGTGCCCGATACGCGCTTCGTTGCTCCCGGGCCATGGTACTATCCACTATGTGCAACTTCTTCACGCACACACCTGAAATGTTCGGCTGGCCCCACTCGCCCCCCCCGTACGCCCCAGAGGCGATTCGTGACCCGCCATGCGCTTCAGCACGCTCGACCCCTCCTGGTACAACCAGCCATCACGTCATCTTCTCGCCAGCCCTAAAACGCCCGTGCAAGGATCACCATAAATCACGTCAGCACCGGCGCGAGACACAAATCACACCCCGCGTCCTTGGAATTCAGCACCAAAACGTCCGCCCGCAGTACGGCCACCGCCAGCCCGTGCCACCCCGCCCCAGGTTCACGCAGCTCTGCCCCCTGACTGTTCCACGCCCCCAGTACATTACCCCACACTAGCCAGTGCTCACGTGGGTCGCACGGTCACACTAACATCCCCCCCGGCCACGATCCGTCACACATCAGGGCGTGAGGGCACTCGGGGAAGTCGCCGCGAAGCCGCGACAAGGGCCCCATGACCGCCAGACGGCCCATCAAAACCGAAACCAACCACATGCCGCCACCAGGATTGGGTCAATCCCCCGCCCCATTCCACCCACGCAAACTTTCGGCCCCGCGACTCGGGCGCCGGCGAGGCGGCAACGAGGCCCGGGCGCGGCCGGACATGGCGCGCAACCCGCAGTACGGCGGCCTGCCCGGGCGGCATCCCGTGGAGGGCATGGACCTGGCGACGCTGCTGAACAGTGCGCCGAACTACGGCGGCGCGGCGGGCTGGGGCCACCACCTGCCGCAGGTGGGTGGGAAAGGGGCGCGTCCGGTGTCAGACGCGGAGAATGAACTGCCGTTGATCTGCCCATGAACGGCCGTGGGTCGCTGGACGCGATGGAGCAGCCTCGTTGGGCAATTTGGATGCTGTGTGCCCCGTTCGCGGCGGTGGTTTTCTCGGTGGGGGGGAATGCGGCTGGTCTGGGATCCCGCCGGCCGGTCCCGGGGCGGCGTGGCCGGGGCGCGTTCCTCGGGGGTTTATCTTTTGCGACGGGGCGGCCGCGCGGTTGAGATTGGAGTGGCTGAGATGGCGGCCGAGCCGCGGCTGGTGGGCCGGTGTGTCTGGCGCGGAGGGAGGGCGCGGCTCCGGAATTTTCCTCTGGAAGAGTCCGTCGCAATGCTCGAAGAGTGTGTTTACCTTCGCGCCTCGGGCGGCCCTGCCGGGGGGGCGCCAGGCTTGGCGAACGCCGGCCTGGATCGGGGGCGCGGAATTGCCGCCGTGCCGCGCGGGCGGCGTGGTGTGTGGGTCGATGTGGCGAGCGTGTTGGTGTGGCGCGTGGCAGGCGCAGGTGCCGGCCATGCGGGCGAGGGAGTCGTCGGCGTTCCCCTTCCCGCAGCAGATGCAGCACTTTCTGGGCGGCGGGGGCGCCTCCAGGCAGATGGCGCAGCAGCTAGGTAAGGCGTGGGGAGGGGGGGGAGTATGTTTGGGTTTGTAGTACCTTGTTACAACCAACAGGACAAGAAACAGGACACGGGCACCCCCCCCAAAAAGTCAACAACAGGCATTGTCAACCCCCTATTCGACCAATGTAAAGGGGACCAAGGCCGGCATGGAGAGTCCAGGTACGTGGGGCTGCGGGTCAAGACGTATCAAAGTCTCTGAAACACAGGTCATACAATGGATCACCCCCTACTAAGCGAGTATACAACGGGCCCTGTTCCGCTTTGCAGCGCTGTGGGTGCCACCATGGACAAGAATGAGTGTGGGGTGGGGTGGGGTGGGGCGGGTGGGGCAGGTGTCATGCTCTGCATGAGTTTGGTCTTTCTATTTGGAGCACTGGCATCCTGTGGTGCCCAACAATGCCGGTCATGCTATGACCAGCAGGTTTTAACACTTGAGACACATCCATAGCTTCTTGGATCTGTTGTCATGCAAACCCTTGCATTTGTGTCCCCACTTGCATTGTGCTCTGAAGACTCCTTCCCCAAGCTTTGTGCAAGGGCTGCAGAGCAGGGATTGTAAGCTACAGCCAACTCACAAGTGAATAGTTTGAGACCAGGTTTCCTCTGCTCACTCTGCCTTGGCTAGCACCACAGGGACACCTCACCCACAGCTGCCTGGAAATGCTCATGACTGCGCTGAACCACAGATAACTTCATTAATGGATGCCGTGAAGGTCACTAGCAGGGGATGGGCAATAGTGCTGCTCGGTGTCATACCTGCACATGGTCGCTTTAGAACAGTGGCAACAGCAAGTGTCCACATCG